GCGCTATTTATCTCTTGTCTCTGAAAGTACTGTCGCCTCAAAACATACATCTCTTGCGCGGCAATCATGAGGTCCGAGAGCTTCAAGAGTTCTTCACATTCAAAGAGGAATGCACTGCGAAATACGGTCCACAGAATCGCGTCTATCATCTGCTGAACGACGTGTTCGACTGCCTGTCGGTGTCGGCCGTTGTGGACGACAGCATCTTCTGCTGTCACGGAGGCATACCGTCCAGCGTTGGCACCATTCGTGAGATACAAGCGATTCCGAAGCCATTGAGAGATCCGTCGGCTGTTGAGTGTCTGCCCGCACACGAGCTCTTGTGGAACGACCCGAGCACTCAAGAGTCATATGAGGCCACCATTGAATTGGTCGGACATAACCCACACAACTGCCCGAAGAATGGATTCGTTTCCAACACCAAACGGAAGACAGGTTTCTATTTCAACGAACAGGCATTGGATGGCTTTCTGATGGCCAATGGGTTGACTCATCTGATTNTCGGACATAACCAACACAACTGCCCGAAGAATGGATTCGTTTCCAACACCAAACGGAAGACAGGTTTCTATTTCAACGAACAGGCATTGGATGGCTTTCTGATGGCCAATGGGTTGACTCATCTGATTAGAGCCCATGAAGTGAATCTCAAAGGATGTCGCTTTCTTTGGGAACAGAAGTGTCTGACAGTCTTCTCGTGCAGTCATTACATGGGAATGAATAATAAGGCGGCAGTCGTTCTCATTGATGACCAGTGCTTCGGACGACTCGTTCAAATCGATACTCAACACAATTCTCCCGCAATGGCTAAAGACAGACCCATTAAGAAGTAGTTATACCACAAACAAAGACAGTCTTATTTCATACCACAAGTCAACACATTTCAAACCATTAAACAAATAAAACTTATTCCAAATGACAAATATTGTGTTTAATTTACCATTTTTTGTATTTCTTTCTCAAACTTTACTTTTAACTACTTTTTTAAATATTGGGACAAATATTTGCAAACTTTTGAATTGAATTATTTTGGACTAATTTAAAAAAACAATTAACTTTCATTTAACAGAGATTTAAATTGTGATTAAACCACTGATTTCACTGACTGTGAGAAATGTTTGAATACAAATTAAATTTTATTGATCACAAACTCTCAAACTGTTCAATTCAGTCAGAAATAAGTCAATAGTTATCTAAACAATTAATTAAAGACAAAACAGTGTTAATGAAATGATTTGAAAGTTTATTCATAAATATAAATGAATTCTATATTTAAAAACATTTGCAATGAATTAATAATTATACAAAAATAACAAACATTTATGAAATAAAATTTATATTCAATGATCGACTCATTGGTCGCACAAATCGTTTTGATCGAAATATCTGCCAATTATGCAAATGATTAGATT